CTTCGAAAGTCAGCCTGGAGTCAGATTTCACCCACATTCTTTGAGCAAGAAGAAATAGAGGTAATATTTTGGAAATAATATTCAGGAGAGTAAAATTTTACCTTCCATCGAATGTTGTAATATGTGGATCATTTACTGATTTACATATCGAGGCTTTATCACCATCTTTGATTTTAAGCTGCAAGAAAAATCATAGCTTGGTTAACCCCTTAAAAGCATCCGTCAGTCATGTTGCATTTTAGGCAGTTGTACAATATATATCAGTTATGTCGTTAGAAAGAGTCATTTTGAATATAGCTTGGAGTCTGTTTTCATTATTTACCCTAGTTTTGTAACTTTTGTGTAAACAAATTAAGTCAAGACACACTCACCTTGACCTGTCCTAGTTCAATCTTGATGGTTTTGACTTTAGTGATGACAGACACCCAAACTTCAACAACTCTATTTTTATCTCCATCTTTTAGAGAGTCTACCACACCTTTGACAGCAATCAAATGATACTCATTCCATTTCGCTTTGCTGAGTGTCACTCCACAGAATGGTGCTTGGTCAACATCTCCAGTCCATGCTATCACAGCTTGAGGTATGACTCGCTTATCGGGACATTTCTGTTCTTTGGCAGCTCGAATACCAGCCATAATTCTCACTTCGCAGTCTTCATCATCACCACAGAAGAAAGATGGTGGTACATTACTCTTGATCTTAATCATTTCATTGATTGAGCCTTCAATAACAGTCAAACTCTTGGTAATAATCTGAATAAAAAAATATACTTTAATACAATCAAGTCAAAATCTTGTCCAAACTAAGCAATCATCTACTAGAAACATATTTGCGTCATCAGATCCAATTTTATGATGCAGCGACCATTTTGTTCGAGACAACAATCTCTATTTAACACATCTTTGGATCAACAATGTGTTACTTGGCCAATTCGCTCAAGGTGCACTCATCGTTTTTTTTGTAAACTTAAAAATATTAGACCAGGCTCTACCAGATGCAGAAATTCACTCCCTTTTGAATCTTGAGATTGATAATGCCTGTATTTTACATGTTAAGCAGATGTAGTCTTACCTGAATACCAGGATTGACTCCAGGACCTACAGATGGTGGTCCTTGACTTCCTTCACAATTATCTTTAAAGCATGCCACCACACTACATTTAATCTAAAATATATTTTTGTTGAAGTATATCATTCAAGTGAAACTGCTAAGACTGCTAAGAACTTTCATGTAGGAAAGACCTAGAGCTCCACTCCATAGGTACTGAAAGGTGTTACAACAGGAAGGGCATGCCTGTACCCTCTAACATCTTTATGCTCTTGTTTGTAAATCAGGCAACCATTTCAGAGAGTTCACATAGCAAATAAAATTTTTGGCAACAAAACTTTCCATGCTTTCTTCAGATTTCTTTACCAAATTTGATAGGAATGTGGATCTTTTATCAGACCTACCTGCATATTTGAAGTAATTTTGGTGATCTTATTACTAGCTAATCTAGGTATAATTCCATCTTTTAATCTATCTTTAAATAATGATGTTTCACCAAGATAATATTCTATCTCATACTCTACATCATAACCTTTAATCAGTTCAAATTCACACACAAAATTGACTTTTCTACTTTCTAAGATTTCAACCTTTACTTCTGGCAATTTGGGCAATTTTGGATAGCCTGAAAAAATACCAATATAACTATGATGCAATCTCTTTAACCTTGTCATCATAAATTCATTGTGATATATAAACATTATACAATGTTTAAAAATCCACGACCGAACGTGCTTATATATCTTAGGTCATACAAATCTACCTAACTTGAACCTTGGCCAAACCTCTTGATATTGATCTTTCCTGGATTATCCATACCCATTTACAGCTGGGTTGACTGGAATTAGACTTTCAGACTTGCACACGCCAAGCGAGCTGCTCGACCTAACCAAGCGAATGACATCATGTAAAAAAACAACGCACTAACCGACTATGCCATAGAAAATGCAGATAGAATTTAAAAAGTTTAACTACCAACAACT